TTGGGCACGCACGCACACACGCCCGGCGTGAGTTTTAAGCCACCGGGTCCGGGACACGAACCGCGGTCGACTACATGGGAGTCCAGCGACATAGCCATTACGCTAACTGCTGGTTCCCAGTCCTGCACATCTTAAAGGGGCCATTTTCCTGCCCCTGCACTGTCCCACATCACAGGACATCTCGGTGCTGTGTGTTGGAGACCCACACCTCTGTCACGTCGCCCCTTTCACAAGAAGTTGAGAGCTCAAGCCGGAAATCTGTCCTTCTGTACCTCCATCTCTCCATGCATTCAAAACCTCTAGGGTTAGGATTAACTGGGTCAGCACATGAAAGGGATAAAGATGTTTTGTTTTTCCTTATACCTTTTGTTTTTTTCTGTGTGTGAAGGGTCTTGAAAAAGTTAATTGAAATGAATTGACATACAAGGTTTTTTTGGTGTAAAAGTTTTGAAATCCATACATGCTTTTTTCATATTGCGCATCTTGTATGAACTTTTCAAAGGCCCCCACGTGCACGTGTAAGAGCTTTCCCTTGTTATAGCCTTAGGCACAAGCTCGTTTCCCCCACATGCTTTCGTAGGCTGCAGTGCAGGTGGAGCGTGATCGTATAAAGACCGGCACTAGTCTACGGAGCTTCCTGGCTCATTCCCCTGCCACTTTTTTTTTTTTTTTTTTAATGTAAAAAAGCTGGTAAGATTGTATTAAAATTTCAGTAGCTTGTGATCAGTACTCTAAAATAATATATCTAGAAGTAATGAAGCTAAAATTATATGGAATAGTGGGTGTTAAATCTAAAATTTTCTTCATCTAAATCACAATGGAAGATTAAAATACTATAGATATTATTTTCCAAAGTAACCAGTATCAAGGATGTTTAAATGTATAAGACCCGTTTTTAAAATCAGTCTTATTCTCCCTATCATGTTTGGAAGTAAAAGAGCAAGGTAGCTGTAAACTAAACTGGTTCAGCTAAATGGAAGGGAATAGGAGCGGGTAGGTAAAGCAAATAGGTCAGGTTTTTGGTTCTTTTGTTCTTTTTAAAATTTCTTACGAGCAAGAAAGAGAGCATCTCCAACAGGGTCTTGATGCCACAATTCATCCCCCAGCTTCAGCCAGGCCCAGATCATAGGCACGCACGTGGCCGGAGTGCTCAGGGGGTCCTTCGGGTATGAACCTGCAGCCATCCCATGTGGGTCAGTCTTTGCAGAGTGCATTACTGCTGTGCCACTGTCTGAGGTCTGTTTTTATCTGCCAAAACTTGGAGCACTTTTTCATGTGAGTGATAGGTTCTGCATTTTAAAGGTGGTTAAGACCACTAAGTTAGGTAGGTCTAAGATTGTTCCATTTTAATGTGTTTTTTTTTTTTTTTAATTTGCTATAGGGTGCTTGCATTCCCCAGAGAGAGGAAACCCAAAAGGGGTGGGGAGGTGGCCTTTATAATCGGATTTTTGGGCATGCATGCGCATGCATCCAGCGTGCTTTTCAAGCTGCTGGGTCCAGGACGTGAATCACACAGTCAACTATGTGGGATCCAGCTGCACTAACAGCCATACCAACTGGTCCAGATCATTCCTCTCCTAAAACTCATTTTCATAATGAACCGAAGGTTGAATTTTTGTCAAAAATGGATGAATACATGAAAATAATGTTGCTAGAATAAGTACTACCCTAAAAGCTACATTGTCAATTTTTTAAAAAAAATTTTTTTGGAGAGGTTTTTTTTGCTATAGGGCGCGTGTGCACGCCAGACAGACAGAGACATAGAGACAGAAAGCGAGAAATCACCCCCCCAGAGGGGATGGTCACGCTGCAATCCCTTCTCCTCCATTCTCCTCTCGGGATCTTGGGCACGCATGCACACGCGCCCGGCATGAGTTTTAAGCCACCCGGTCCGGGACGCGAACCGCGGTCGACTACGTGGGAGTCCAGTGACATAGCCATTATGCTAACTGCTGGTTCCCAGAAGCTACATTATCAATTTTACATTAAAATCTCACATAGAAATTGCTGTCAAGGCATTTGATAGCTTATTCCAAGATTACTAGGAAAAACTTAGCCAAATCGAACAGCATATTCATTTTCTTTGCAACTACCAAAGCGCAGTCATTGTCACAAGGTGATTGGGGCAGTTGAAAATGCTGTCAGACCCAGAATCAGTTTATTTTGTACAGGAATTAAATGATTACTCTGAAAATGGTCAAAATTACTGTGCAAACAATTACCAGAGCTGATACTAAAATGTGATTATTTGATAAATATTTCCTTTTATTTGGAATAGCTGCTTTACAAAGTGTTCCTTCCACAGAAGAAACTTCACAGTTTCCTTTTCTCCACTCACCGGCCTTGATATGTAGAAATGCACAGGTGTCCTCTAGGTCCTTGCCCTCTTCTTGGTCACTTAGCAAGTGTCCTGTTTGAATTACCAAACCACTTGAAATTCACATTGTCTATGTCATAAAGCATGTCTAGGAGGGTGTCATCTGGTCCTTTCCATTGTTTTTTCAAAGTATTCAGTGCAAAACCGTTTTCTCCTTCATTATATATGCTTATATCTGCTTCCCTATCAGTACACGGGCTTCTGACATCTTCTGTGCTTGCTACTTTGATGGCTTCTCAAAGAAAAATGTAACCACTGTCACAGAACTGAGCCCAGGTGAGGAAGGGCAGTCCATGGAGAGGGCAGCAGTGAGGCCCAGCAGCGGCAGCAGGGATGCAGGCAGAGCAGCCTGGGGCTTAACTGCTAGTGCAGATGCTGACCCAGCAGGCTGGACCATGTTTTAATACTTTTCATTAAAGCTGATGCTATGGAATGCTGGCACAGACCTGTCAGTACTGGTAGCCTCTGTTGGAGTTACTTTGGGGAATAAATTTCCACACTTGGAGTCACTGCAAAAGTCTCTTGGAATGCTCTAGAAGGGCTGTAGAACTCGCCCACACTATTGCCACACCTTCCTGACTGTGGAACGATTAAAAGGAGAGAGATGTTTTCATTCTTTCTGCCTTGTTACTCCTCTTAGCAGCATTTTTGTTCACTGATTCTCTCATAAGTCAGAAGTCATCTCTTACAGTAAATGCAGAGGGCTTGTGCTCTGTGATGTGCAGTTTTTAAACATTCCAAACACAACATACGCGACTCATCTTGGGACTTCTGTGCCTGCTGAAGTCTGGTATTTCCTGACCCTTGGCCTCTCCCTGTGCAGCTGTCGGTGCTCACTACTGGATATGTGTGCTTTGTTCCTAGGGACCAACGTGATGGTGCGGTGCCTCAGGATGCTGAAGGAATTTAAACGGAAGGTTGACGACGATGACGAGGACGAGGAGGTCATCTCCAAGGGAGTGCCTCCAGTGGACATTGTGTTTGAGCGGGACATGCTCACACAGACCTACGAGCTCAGTGAGTGCTCCCATGTGGCTCCAGGGCATTTGCATCGAGAAACGTCTTGCCCAAGTGTCCAAATTAGGCTCTGCTGTTGAAAATATAACACGGGGAATACTATGGTTCCCTTGAAAGGTTTAGGCTTTTGGATCAGCTCTGTGTTTTAATCTTTGCTCTGCCACTTAGCTATGACTTTAGCAAGGTCTCTGAGCCTCGGTGCCTTTGTCTGTGTTAGTCACAGCTCTCCAGAGATTCAAAACCAGTGGGCTATAGACAAATGGGAGGAGATTTACTAGGGCAATTGGCTCACATGATCCTCAAGGGTAGGAAGCCCCACGACTGGCTCTCCTGCAAGCTGGAGAACCAGGGAAGCCTCAGCGTGGCTTAGTCTGAGTCTGAAGCCTCAGAACCAGGGAGGCTGCTGGCACAGATCCCAGGTTTCAAAAGCCGGAGAGCCTGGAGTTCTGATGTTCAAGAACAGGAGGGGAAAAGACATCCTGGCTCTAGAAGAGAGAGGGAGCAGAGGCTCCTCTCTGTCAGTTGGTTCTGTCAAAGCCCTAGCCAGTTGGGTGGTGCCCACCAATACCGAGGCCAGGCCTTCTCCCGCAGTCCACCAACTCACTGGCCAGTCTGTTCCAGAAGTGCCCTCACAGACACACCCAGAAATAGCATCAGCTGTCTGGGTAGCTATTAATCCATTGAGGTGATAACTGAAATGAGCCATCACATGGGGATAATACCCACACTAGCACATTATAAGGATAAATGACATAAGATTAAAATATAGAAGGTGCTCAAAAAGATTAGCTTTCGTATTATATTCAGAGGTTTAAGAGCCCCCTCTTGCCTTCTAAGTTCAGTCTGGAGTAACTGTAGGCTGGAAATTTTAGTGATACAGGGGCAAAAAACCTACGTCTGCCATTCCTCACCCTTCCTATAGGTCCCCTAGGACTTATGTAGGACAGCAGTGACCCAGTGCCACAGATGGCACATCCCCAGGTCCCTATGGGGAAAGGACAGAGAAGGTGAGGCAGGAGATCTGATTCAGCTGCAGGGCAGGAGCCACACCAGCAAATCGGCACTTCTGGCAGCTGTGTCAGAAGAGGTTCCTAAGGACACAGTTTGGGAAAACCTGCCCTTAATTCTTTCATGCCCACTTTTAGCGTATTGCTAGTTTAATATAGGAACACAGTTCAGTCAGCGCTTTTCATTCTGATGCTTATTTTTATACATGCACAATGGCAAAACCTCTTTATCCAGATTGACTTTAGTTAGCAGCTTCAAATGTGTGGATGTATCAAGAAATGAAGGGGAAATATTTCTGAGCAAAGAGCGTGACTGCGAGGTCTGCCTGTGGCTCACATTTTTACCTGTGAGACTTCTGCCCACCTGTAACCCAGCTCCTCCCTGGGGTGCTCAGTCCCAGGTTGGCAGAATGAATTGACAGAAAGCACTTAGAGGCAGCTGCAGTAGCAGTACTGAGAAGACTGTGTGACCGGGCAGGAGCTGTGGAGGGTAAACAGATGGGCACAGTGCTCTCCGGACCTTCCTAAAAGGTTAGGGGGCATCGCTTCTTCCCATAGCCCCTGCGAGTGCAACTGCTGGGGGACAATGAGGTAGTGTCCTTACTGCCTCTGGGTGTACTGAGAAAGAGGGAAAAAGAAGAACACACATTTAAAACATTCTTGGTTAAAACTTATTTCGATGCCTTCCCCCCCCCCCTTTTTTTTTGTTTTTACAGGTTTACACCTTAGGGTGAGTGCACTTACCGAAGAAAGAGAAACAGTGAGAGGGAAAGTGAGAAGTCACCCCCTGGGGGAGATGGCCATGCCATGGTCCCTTCTCCATTCCCCTCCCAGGATCTTGGGCATGCATGCACACATGTCCAGTGTGAGTTTTAAGCCACTGGGCCTGAGACCCACACTGCAGTTGGCCATGTGAGAGTCTAGTGCTGTAACCGCCGTGCCACCAGCTGGCCTCTATTTTGATGCTTTTTCAAAGGGTCAGTTTCATATCTGAAAAAGTTCATTCATGTGAGGGAACTAATTTCCTGCTGGGTAAAAATGGTATTCCTGGAACTTAGCAGAGCAACTTTTGATTGCTAGAAATTCAGCACTTTACCGTGGTGGAGTCAGTAAGCACCCAAAAAAGCTAGTTATGGGACCAGCAGTTGGCATAATGGCTGTCTTGCTCCTGCACCTGGTGGCTTAAACTCACACCAGACGTGTGCACACTATGTATGTGTGTGTGTGCGCCCAAAATCCTGAGAGGAGAAAGGATTGTGGCATGGCCATCCACCCTGGGGGGTGATTTCTCGCTTTCTGTCTCTCTGTCTTTCTGGCGAGCACACACGCCCTATAGCAAAAACCTCCAAAAATAAACCAAACTAGTTATTAGTGTTATTACTAGCATAGTGTATTATTATTATCGTTCAGGGCCTTGGTGGGGGAAGCATTCTTGGGAGGAGAGAGGAGAGTAAAGGCAAACTTCTGTTCTCTGTTGGGTTCACTGCATTGAGCTGTCTGTGCCTGGAAGGGGAGTGGGAAGTGGCTCGTGTAGAGAAGTTGGGGTTCATGTATATTTTCTCAACAGTTGAGCGCAGAGGCACGAAAGGAATCTCCCAAGCAGAAATCCGAGTAGCCATGAATGTGGGAAAACTGGAAGCAAGAATGCTGTGTCGGCTTCTTCAGAGATTCAAAGTTGTCAAGGTAACAGCACAAGTCACCCTCCACGATTTATATCTTTGGATGCGCACACAGTGTGATTACCAGGCAATGTCTCAGTCAGACAGCTAGATCGATCACCTGCCATGTACATCAAGAAGGCACATGGGCACCTGGGAGCTGGGTGCAGCCCACAGCCATGTTCTGTCTCCCCCTCACTGCTGCTTGTTTTTCATTTTTGAAGTTGAATGGGTTGTCAGGGGACAATGAGGTAGTGTCCTTACTGCCTCTGGGTGTACTGAGTGTATTGGGTGTACGTGGCCACACGTCCTCGTGGAGATGGTCGGCTAGAGCTGACTAGTGTCCCTCTGTCCCCTTTCAACAGCAGGGCTCTCCAGGTCCCCACAGTCCCACTGGGCTCTCCCTCTCTTTCTGTATTGTGCTTGGCTCCTAGGGACATGGAGTCGGCTAACCCTGCCTGTCCAGCACACCCTTTTTGTAATTCAGACCTGCCACCTCAGTCTTGGTGCTTGCTGTCTTTTTACTTTTGTTTTGGCATTTTGCTGGAAGGCAATGGTGGTGTTGAGCTAATGACAGCAGAGATACTACTCTTTCTCATTCAGGGCCGTGAGAAGAGCCCCTTTTCCCTGTGCTAGGAGATAAAATGGGCATGAATGGGTGACCTCTAAGCAATCACTGCCTATGGCAGGGACTGATGGAGCCGGTGCCTTATAGACTCTGACTTGTCAGTCAGCCATAACTACTGAATTCTGCGTAACAAGCGCTGTTCACTGACCATTTTCCGTGTCCAGGTTCCATGCTAGACACTGGACTATACAGAAGACCAAGTTAGGGCCCTGCTGTCAGGGAGCTCACGGTCTCATAGAGTGGGTATACATTCAGGACTGCAGTTTAGAAAACTGTCTCGGGGGCCGGCAAGTACCATGGTAGTTGAGGTGCTGAACTCTCACATGGCCAACCATGGTTCGGGACCTGGACCTAGTGGCTTGCTTTCTCACTTCCATCTCTCTCTCTCTCTCTCATAAAATTAAATAATAATAGTAATATTAAAATTAAACAGATAATTGTTTTATAAAAAGAAAAAGAAAACTCTCCCACAGGCCTGTGAAAGTAGGACTCAGGATGATGAGACAGGAAGACCCAGGAGAGCACGATGGGCCCGAGCAAGGGTGCAGGCAGCAAGGTGCAAGAGACGTGGGTGAAAGCAAGAGTGACAGGAAACTGGTGCCAGAGACCACGAGTCCCTGAACGACTGTGGTTGTTGTGGCCTCTCTTGAGTGTGATAACCACATCTTACCCCTCTAGGGATTCATGGAAGACGAAGGGCGGCAGCGGACCACCAAGTACATCTCCTGTGTGTTTGCAGAGGAGAGTGACTTAAGCCGGCAGTATGAGAGAGAGAAAGCCCGGGGGGAGCTCCTGACCACAGTGAGCTTGGCCTCCGTGCACGAAGAGTCAATTCTGCCCGAAGGTGAAGACACCTTCCTCTCCGGGTCAGACAGTGAGGAGGAGAGCAGCAACAGTGGCAGCAAGAGGAAGAGCAAAGGATCCCAGCCTCACCACTCCACCCCAGCTAAGGGTAGGTGCACGCTCGGGGCAGGCATCGTCAGGAAGCACTGCTCAGCTCGGGCTTGTTAGCAGAGGTGTGGAGGAGATGGTCCTGTGTCTGTCTCCTGGCTGCTTGTAAGTCAGTCAGTTCTCCTTGACATGTGTTTTGTTTGTTGTATATTGTTGAAGGGATGGAATTTCACAGGTTCCTTTGCGCCCTTCCCTCTAAACAGTCTATTTAAGAATCCCACAAGGCAACTGGTCCTGTAGCACAGTGGTTAAGCACAGTACACAGGAAACCGGATTGCCATGTCTGTCCTGACCCCTGCGGCTTGAAAACATACACTGGGTGTGCGTACCCAAAATCTTTTTTATTTTTTTATTTTTTTTTTTTTGAGAGGTTTTCGCTATAGGGCACGTGCGCTTGCCAGCCAGACAAAGAGAGACATTAGAGACAGAAAGTGAGAAATCACCCCCCAGGGGGGATGATGGTCATGCCGCAATCCCTTGTCCTCCATTCTCCTCTTGGGATCTTGGGCACGCACGCACACGCGCCTGGCGTGAGTTCTAAGCCACCGGGTCCGGGACGCGAACCGCGATCGACTACGTGGGAATCCAGCGACATAGCCATTATGCTACCTGCGGATTCCCCGTACCCAAAATCTTGATGGGATAGAGAAATGGAGAAGGGGCTGCTATGTGACCATGCCCTTTTTGGGTGGTGCTTTCTCTCATTTCCTCTCTGGCTTTCTCTGGTAAGCCTTCTGGCAAGTGAGGGTGGGGGGAGATCTCACAGGGCTTTAGCTTAGTTCATGGGTTGTGGTCTGGCCACCAAGCATGGATGCCTCTCTCTCACTTTCCCCCTTGACTTGTTCTGTCACTGCCCTCCACCAGGTGGGGGGAAATCTCTAAACCGACACTCACTGAAGAAGCAGCCGTCCTCTTTCCCAGGAGCTGCTGAGGAGAAATCCTGTCATATCTCTGGTGGTGGGGACACCCTGGAAACCTACAGCAGGTCTGATCCCTTCGGCTCTCGCCGTGTGGAGAGCTCCAGTGGTGACATGGCCTTGATCGAGGAAATCAAGCTTGAAAAGGTCAGTGGTTACAGAGGGAGTGTGTTGTCTCTGAGAAGGAGCCTGTGGTGGCGAACATCAGCCTTCTCATTTCTGTGCGTAAAAGCCACAGCGACTTGGATTCCTCTAAAGATTAATGATGTCGAGCATTATGCTTGTTGGCCACTTGTATGTTTTCTCTTTAGAACCGTTTATTCGGATCTTTGCCCATTTTTTAAGTCGTTACTTATTTTTTACTGCTGAATTGTGTATGTTTCTTAGACATTCTAGTTATTAAGCTTTTGTTAGATACATGGTTTGCAAATATTTTCCCATTTTGTGGGTGGCGTCTTTGCTCTGTTCATTGTTTCCCTTGCTGTGTAGAAGCTTTTTGAACAGCAGAAACAATGCCACTAAGAGTGCTGTGTGCTGAATGCCTGCTCTGTGCCAGGTGGTGACTAGGTGCTTCATGAAGAGTATTCAGTCCCAATTACATACACCTACCTTAATACAGTCTGTGCCCTGCACAGAAATCACCCACATTCTTATTTATCCAGTGTTTAAATTTCCAACAACAGGGACCGGCAGGTGGCATAATAGTTATATCGTTGGATTCCCATGTAGTTGTCCACAGTTCGAGTCCCAGACCTGGCAGCTTAATCCTCACGCTGGTCATGTGTGCGTGCTTTCCCAAAATCCTGAGAGGAGAATGGAGGAGAAAGGATTGCAGCGTGGTCGTCCCCCGGGGGGGGGGTTGATTCTCACTTTCTTTCTCTGTCTCTTGGTGAGCACATGGCCCTATAGCAAAAAATTCTCTAAGAAAAAAAAATTTCTAACAACATACCCTTTTCCCCGAAGTTTATTTTAGAGGGAAAGCTTGTAAATAATTTAGATCACTGGTGGGCCTCCAGGGCTAGTTTTGCCTTCCCATGGGACAGTTGGCAAGTATCTCCTAGAGACACTTGATTGTCACAACCTAGGCAGGGGGTTGCTGCTGACACTGAGTAAGTAGAGGCCACATGCTGTTAGACATTCTATGATACACGGGACAGCCTCACCACAGAGCGTTAACTAGCCAAAACTTCTCACTGCTTTAGATAAAAAGCCAGTATCAATGGCATAAAAAAGAAGGTGATTGGGCCAGCAGATGGCATGGTGGTTAAGGCCCTGGACACTCCCACATGGCTGACCAAGGTTCTAATCCCAGATCTGATGACTTGCTTTCTCTTTTTCTTCCTCTCTCTCTTTGTCTCTCTGACCAAATTAAAATGAATGAGTGAGTGAATGAATAAAAATTTTAAAATAAATAATTCTTTTAAAAAAATAAGGTAATCATAAAGTAGGTACAGTAGAAATAAAACTCAGTGCGTCCATGGTTATATGTCAAGGGTTAAAGATGCAGTAGGTGGACCAGCTCTTGGCATAGTGGGACTGGATCCCACTTAACTGATTTCACAGTTCAAGTTTTAGACCTAGTGGCTTGAAAAATGTGCCAGGTGCATGTGTGTGCCTGTCTAAAATCTTGAACGAAAGGAGAAATGAAGGAGAGATTGCAGCATGACCATTCCCCATGGGGGGAGCTTTCTCTATCCCTCTTTGTCTCTGGCAAATGCATGTGCCCTCTGGCAAATTAAGAAAGAGGGGGGAGGGAGAGAGGAGGGAGAGACGGGGAGAGAGGGCGGGAGGGAGGATGGAGAAACGTGCAGGCTCAGTCAGTGACCAGGTGAAGCTTAGAACCCCTGTGTAGACTCCTGCCCTACATTGCTTCTCCCTTTTGGGAACGGAGGCTGTGGTCTGGTAATGTCCTGACAGCAGGAGAGATGGGCACGGAGTGGGTTTTCTGGATCTGGTCAGCCCCATCTAACTTAGTCGATGCCATAACCCCATCGGTCATGGCTGCTGTCTGTAACTGAGGAGCCTGGGCCTTGCCTGAGGTGGAGCACAGTAGGTCCCCACAGGCTGTACCTGCTTCCTCATTGGCCTCTCGCTCTGGTCAGTCTGTAGCTCCCCTCCAGGTCTTGGACCTCGTTTACTTGTTTCCTAGCCAAGCTATATCTTTCTACCAGGTAGAACCTCACTCCCAGAGCCACGTCAGCATCAACACTAAGGATTGCCGAGCAGAGCAGCCCTGCCTGGAGGCTCTTGGGAGTGGGGATGTCAGCCCTCTGCAGCAGCCCTGTGAGAAGCAGCCGAATTTTCTCACGTGAATTTCTTCCAGAATGTTTACTCCAGTACACAAGGGAAAATAAACGTCTTTCTGCCACCTTGGGGCACTTCTTGAGCCTTCGAGTCTCCCCTTTGCAGCTTTTTCCATTTCGTGAAAGAAATGTGCCTCACCTGGAGCTCTCCCAGTCTGCGGGAAGTGAGCGAGGGCCTGCCTGGCTTCACTGCCACCCTCACGGAGCAACCTCCTCGAGCGCATTCTCATTCCTGAGCGTGAAGTGAGGAGGATGTGGCTGTGAACACACCCTGGGGCTGCCACGTGGCACAGATTTATGGTGCTGGCTTGTAGCAGTGATTTGCAGGGAATCTTAGAAATCAGGATTTCCTTTCCATTCATGATTTACATTTGGGCTTTAACATATTTTGATCTAAGAACAGATGGAACCAGTTCATTTTAAGCTCATGAAAGGCAGAAAGGAGACATTAGAAAAGAAGTGAGCATCGTGGCAGAGCTCAGAGAGGAAGCCCAGATCCGTTCTCTTTCCTTGCCCTGTGCCCAGCTGGCATCTCCGGCCACCTTGGGAAACCTTTTGCCACCTCCCTGGATTCCCTTGATGTGGAGTCAGAAGCTCCATCTTAGCGCACGCTTACTTTCTAGCGTGGCCCTGGATAGTTCTGAGCACACTGAGCCCTGGTCCCCTCTTCTGTAAAGTGGGAACAGTAATACATTTGTGGAGAGTTTTTGATAAAAGAAACCTAAGTAGAATAACTGGCATGGGGTCATCCCTCAGTATGTTGGTTTTTTTCACTCAGTCATGAAAGGACCAAGTGAAAAGTGGAAGGGTGCTTTCTCCTTTCTAGGAGCTGCTGTAGCAAATAACTGATTTCTGCCCTGAAACCAGCCGGTCCTCATCTGCCGGCCGATTGCCATCTTGAGGCACCGAGATGGAAAGGTAGCAGAGTCCGTGTAAGGGAATAGACGTCTCAACTTCTTGAGAGACGGGAGTAGAAATTCCTTGAGGGAAAGTGTTCCCACTGGCATGCGTCCAGCTCCCCAGCCTAGCTGAGCCTATGTGTCTCGTGCTTTGATTCCGGTTCTAGGAGAGCGGCGGTTCCCAGAAAGCAGGGAAACATGGCTCGGGCCAGGACAACAAGCCCCATGAAACCTACCGACTGCTGAAGCGAAGGAATCTGATCATAGAAGCTGTCACCAACCTCCGCCTAATTGAGAGCTTATTCACGTAAGTTTGTTCACCTCTGCCTTAGAGTAACAGTAATTCTTAGTCCCGTTAGTCAGCACAAGCCACGGACGTGTCCGAGACATGTTAGATTCTGTTCTGCCATCTGGAGTCTAAAGGTATCCCTTTGTGGTAAAAAGGATATAGTATTTGTTCTTATTATTTGGAAAGCGTAGACACCGAGGCAGCTACACAGGGAGAGACTGAGCAAGAAATTGAGGTCACAGGGAAGTGCACTTGTTTGCCTCTTCTCCTCACATGGAAAATTGTTGCTCAGGAAGGTTCACAGAAGCTTAGTCAGCTAATGGTATTATCCATAAACCGTGTTTTCAGTTCTCCATGGAACCTTTTGTACATAGTCATGTGTGGAAGAAAGCAAAAAAGGCCGAAACAGAGCCCCTGTATTTAGGATGGAATAAAGGTTCTGATCTCTGGTTTGATCCTTGGGACCTACCATCTTCCCTGCTGCTTGGAGGGCATCTTCTGGGCTTCGAGGCACCCAGCCTACAAACCACTCGATGAGAAGAGGGCTTCCCTCTAGTCCAGGACACAGGTTCTTCACATTGTCTCTTAACTAGGGGGTGGGGACCCTAGGCAGAACTGTTGCCCCCGGCTGTCTTCTGTGCAATTGAGGTTTGACTTGTGTTCCTGGAGTCCCATCTGGGCCTGCCATTCTGTGATCAGTGATTTAGAAATACCACCGTTAAGACTCAGTAAGATCTGGAGAGTTTGCTGTATCAAGAGAGGGATCAAAAGAGCTTCAGATCTGCAGGGCAGAGGTGGACTGAAACAGTCCTTTGCTGGATGTCAAATTGGTAAGTGGATTTAGGAAGACATTGCCATCATCGTGCACAGTTTCCACTATCACACATCTAAGTCTCTGGGAGCTGCTGTGGACAGTGGTTTATCTTCAGCTGTTCATGGACTACAGAGAGAGATGGTCTTTTATATCTTAGGCAGTCAGCCTTTCTGAAGCTGAGAAACCCCTGTAATTCTTCCTTAGTTTCCGTTGGATTCCATAAGGCATGTTTCTGTTGCCTGTGGTTAGGAAGGCCTTCCATGCTGAGACTGGGAATGTTAATTGCTTATTTTGTGTTGCCCTAGGATTCAGAAGATGATCATGGATCAGGAGAAGCAGGAAGGCGTGTCCACCAAGTGCTGTAAGAAATCCATCGTCCGCTTGGTGCGGAACCTGTCTGAGGAAGGTCTTCTGAGGCTGTATCGGACCACAGTTATTCAAGATGGCATCAAGAAGAAGGTAACCATGAGCCCCCTGATGCCCACAAACCCAGCCTTATGCCATGGGGCTTCTCGTCTGGCTCTCCCATTGTAGTGTCTCGGTTGTTTGTTGCTGGCACATTAGGATGTGTTCCCATCCTACGTCCGAATTTGGGGAAGAGAGATTATCCCAAGTTTGTGTGGAGGCTGGGGACAGAAAAGGGCAACAGCTTGCATAGAGCAGTGTGTCAGCCCCGCAGCCGGTCTTGAGGAAGAGGAGGGAGCGTGGAGGCGTGTTGGAGCTCTGCAGAGTAGGTGGGAGAAATGAAGCAATGTTAGAAGGTGTCAGACTTAGACCAGGCAGCGAGAACGTTGGCCGCAGAAATCTGAGGAAACTGTCCCCACACAGATGATGGTGACAACTTGATTAGGATGCACTGCCTGGGGTTTTCACTTGGGAACAATGCATTTCTTTCATCTTTGTTTATCTGTTTCTGTAAAATGTAAAGTTTGGGACCATTCCCATAGCAACTGTAGCTCAGCAGCTTTGCACAGTCTGAGGCATAAATCTTTCAGGGTCAGAGTCATTTACAATCCTGCACCTGGGCACTCGGGCCACAGGGGATGGTGCTGTGGGAACGGTCCCTTTGAATTTCCTGACCATTTTTTTCTGATTACATTTTCAATCTCTGCCTTAAGGAGGCTCTGCTTAGATACTTTGTTTTCTTAATAAGCTGGCAAGGTCATTTCTACCTTTTTACTTTATCTTATTTTTTGAGAAATTTGAAAAATTCGAAGCAGTTCCAAAAAATGACATAAGAAACAACAGTATTGGGACCAGCAGGTGGCATGGTGGTTAAGGTGTTGGACTCCAGCATGGTTGACCGTGCTTGAGTCCCATGCCTGGTGGCTTGATATACCAGGTACGTGTGCATGTGCGCCCAGAATCCCAGGAGGAGAATAGAGGAGAAGGGATTGGAGTGTGACCATTCCCTTTGGGGGGTGGCTTTTCACTTTCTCTCTCCCTCTCTCCCCAGCAAGCACATGTATCCTTTAAAAAAAAAAAAAAAAAAAAAAAGACATAATACCTGTCATTCCATTTATTAGTTTTATATCTATTGTAAGTCTTTTTACAAATAAAACAGTTACGTTCTCTTGGCATTCCCTCTCCCTCCGCAGCCAGCCTGCCAGGAGTCCCCCATCCATATGCTGACTTGTGGACAAGAGCCAAGCCCATCAGCAGCTCCTATGGTTTCTGTTGATCTTGAAAGAGGAGGCCCTTCAGACTTGTAGCCTTCTCAGTGCCGGACTGAGGGAAAGAAAACCTCCTACAGTTCAGGACTGGGGTGAGGCAGCCTGGCAACATGTCCCCAGCTTCTATTGGCGCCTTCCCCATCAGGTTATACCAGGGAGCACAGGAGTAGGGTAGAAAGGGTCAGTGCAGCAGGTAAACACTGAGGATCACGTGGGTTCAGAAACAAAAGTGCCCACAGTGATGGGAGACTCTGGCCTCAGGGCACTGCCAAGTCACCTGTTCTCCAGACTGGAAGGGGCTGCAGTATTGTACATGTACCACTAGCAGGCAACTTTCTAGTGCCCTGGAGCTGGAGTCGCATTGGCTGGAGCCTTGCTAACCTTTGGCCTTTGCTCCTGTCCTGAACACTGGGCTGAGGGCAGGTAGGACTGTTGTGTGTTCGTACCATGCCTTTAAATTGGCTGAGATGTCACTAACTGTGTCTCCTTTGCACTTCACACAACCATAGAGATCTTGCCATTGCAGGATGAGGGCTGGGGGCACTGCACAAGTGAGGAGCAGAAGGACTGAGCCAAGTGCAGCCTCTTTAGGGTCCCCATCAGCATGGTTGTCTGTTCCCTGTCACCAAACCTGTTTGAGCTTATTTTGTGGCATGAAACTACTGGCCAAAGTTGACATGCTCAGAAAACCTTACTTTGTTCTCTCCTGCTAATGACAGAGACAAACAGAAGCCTGGCTCTTGGGTACCTAGGCATCTACACCTGGCTGACCACAGCATAGTTTGCATACCCACCCCAGGTCCCCATGCCTGGCTGACCATGGCATAGCTGACACACCCACACCGGTCCACTAGACTTCATCTTTCTCTGCTGAGTTCTTAAGTTATTGCCCTTCCCCACTTTCCATTTTTCATCCTGTATCTCTCTTGTGAAATGATAACCACCTTAACTGTTCAGCATCAGTGCCTTGGAAAAGGTAAAACAACAAAAGCAGCTCTAAATCTTCTGCCAGTTTATTTAGAAGTGCGTCTGGCGGAACTCCCACAACGATGCTCTCAGCAAGAGGAGATTAATGAAAGCTGCTTACCTTTTCCAGATGGAAGCCCTCAGGATTCACATGCAGTGGTGGAAAGTTCTCACATAGCGGGGCTGGGGTGTCAGGAGTACCCACTAGGGAGCAGCAGAGACCAGTGGGCTGTGACAGCCCGGCAAGGGACCTGGGGTGGATGGCTCTATGTCCAGGCCTGAATCCTCACCCAAGCAAAGCAGCTTGTCACTGACATGGTATTTCATCACTCAGATACCTAGGGCATTTTGAGGCTGACTGCTGTATCAGACTGTAGAAACCATTCTGCTCCAGCCTCATGCTTGTCTTTTGGAACTGATAATAAGTGGAACGTTATAATGGGTGTTCCACTAAGGAATGCACCTCAGCTCTCCCCTGCCTGCCCTTTGGAACACTTTGCCTCTCTCTGTAGGTGGACCTGGTAGTGCACCCATCCATGGACCAAAACGACCCTCTTGTGAGAAGTGCCATCGAGCAGGTTCGCTTCCGGATCTCCAATTCAAGCACAGCAAACAGGCAAGTGACAGCACCCCGAGAGAATCTGCAGCAAGGTTACTGGGCCTGTGTGTTCCAGCTCGAAGCCATTTTCACAGAGACCCTGTAGTTACATTTGTATGACATCAGCAAATTCACTGGCTTAGAGTTAGTGATTCATGACCCTCTAGTCTAAACAAGGATCAATTCCTGGATTTTTTTAAAGGATAAATAAACCTAGCCCAGTCTGTAGTGCACACTGCATGACACTTGCCAGACAGGGAGTCACATAGGAGGCCTGGGTTTGAATCCTGGCCCACTGTAAAAGCCAGGAATGGTGGTACATGCCCTTAGTCCCCCTGCCTAGGGAGCTAAGGCAGGAGGATCGCCGTCTAGTGAGACCTGGTCTTGAAACATGATCATGTTTTCAGTTCTGTTCCACCTAGCAGAGTGTGGTCGGCGCGCTCCAAGTCATAGGCCCTCTGACGTAGAACTCCATCATTCTCATGGTGGCTCAGGGTGATTCCACTTTTATTCACAAACCATCTGATGGCCTGAGAGAAAACTCAGGGGTGAGAGCAAGTTCACAGCTGGGTCTGAATTGAGAGGTGGCCCATGGGCGGGCAGAGTGTTGATGGGGCTCACAGACGCTGATTTATATCGTCTGCTGTTTATTAGCCTCTTTCACTTTGAATTAGCCACTGCTTAATTCCTCTTAAAGTACTGGTTTCTGACATTTACGAAAGTGCCTTAAGACCTAGCACATTGGACCTTCTTTCTCACAAAGTAGCAGCTGTCTCTTACATGAGGGTGCCTTCACTAGGTCTCCACAGTCCTGTCATCCCCAGATGTCTTAGTGACACATTTTATTCATTTGCATCATGGGCCTAGCCCCTACGATAGTTAAGTTGGAAGCCCCAAAGGCTTCATTCCATTCACACAGACAGACTCTGTCCTTCCTCCCAGCCCTGGTTTTTTTCTACATATGATTGCATCTTGTATTTGAACTACAGAATGAAAGGTTCCCAGTATTCTGCACCCCAAGAGGAAATAGAAGAAGAAAGTCAAGAAAACGAAGGCCCAAGTGGATCAGGAGACCTGACTGCTTCCTTCAAAGAAGAAAGTGGGCCAATGAAAAGAGCTGATGAGAAAATGGGTATAACCCAACTTAAAAATTATCACCCCATTGTAGGTAAAAAGCAGCTTCTTGTCCGTGTTTGACGTCATTTGTTGTTTGCATGATGCATCACTTGGTGTTCGCCTCCAGCTGAACTCTGGGCTGCAGTCAGCAGAATCAGGTCTGAACACCGGCTGGGTCATGTTGGGGTGGTCATAGCTTCTGCCGCCATCAATTTTCCCTCTGTGCAATTGGAGATACTTCTCACCCAGAATACCTCGCGAGGTTGTCAAGAGACTCCAGTGAAAGTGCTAGATTCCAGTGTAAGGAAAGGCATTTCTCCTGTCGTGTAGACGTGGGCTAGCACAGTCTGGACCTCAGGAAATCCCTCCCTGTCCCGACCCCGCACACCTAGCAGTGAAGCACTGATGAGTCCGGGTGCTCATGAAGGTGCATCCTCCCGCGTTCCCGACTGCGCTGCTCCATCGCCGCCCTGTGCAGAGCAAGCACAAATGGCTCTGCACCTCCCCTGGCCACAGCATGCATGCTGGTGTAGGGAGGGGGCCGGCCGACTGACCAGTGCACGGGCAGGTGGGGGAGCGGGCAAGCACACCTGGATTCCATGCTGAAGTAGTTTGTGTTCTTTTCTTTCTGAAGGCTCCCATCACGCAAGCATGGCCTCTCAAGGCTTCCCAGTTAGAAAGTAAAATTAAGGGGTCAGATGGTGGCACAGCTGTAAGACGCGCTCTTTGAGGCTGACCCACATGGGAAGGTTCCGGGTTCGCATCTGGAGACTTCTCTGAGTACCCCAAGCACTTGCATGCCTGCACTCTGGGCCAGCTGAGATTGAGGGTGCTTTGGGACTCTTGGGGATGCTGTCTCTGTCTGTCTGTCTGTCTCACTTTCTCTCTCTTCTCCATGTAAGAAATAAAACTTTTTAAAAAGCAAAGTCAAGATAAAGGAGAAGTGTGTGTGTGTGTGTGTGTGTGTGTGTGTGTAGTACATGCACTATGTAGCCCAAAGGCAGAGAGTATGTTCCTCAACAGCCTTCTGGCCCCTGTCCTCACTGCCCTGTTACTGTGTCCACTTTGTCTCACACCTGTCCTATTTCATGGGGAAAGTTAGGGGACAGTATTTCTATCAGTGAAGAAGCAAGCTACCGTGAAAGAACTGAGACCTTAGAAAACGGCACAGTCCAAGGGTTCCTGTCGCCAGCCAGCTCCCTTCCTTCCCTGCTCCAGCCCCACCCTGTCCTACTAGCTTTTCCCTGGATGCAGAACCTCGGGCATCCGTGCCACCTGCCCCTCACTGACTGGGGGCTCGCCTCCATTCCTCTGTGTGTGGAACTACAGGCTTCCTCTCAGCCTTGCTTTATTTTCTGTGCTGGTTATTTCCATGTGATGTCCTGTTGTAGGCATTTTGTTAGTGTCTTTGTCCACAGGAGTGAACTACACACCGTCTCCCTAGAGCTGTGTCATGGTGCCACGCCATAGGTTTAGAATGAGTTGAACTGAATTGAATCAGATTCTTAAAGTATCACCCTCCCCCTTTTTCTCTTCAGTTCCTGGACTCGGGCGTTCTCTGGGGTTTCAGCCCAAAATGCCTCGCCTGCGAGTGATCCACATGTTCCTGTGGTACCTAATCTACGGGCACCCTGCCAACAGGACAGAGAAGCCAGTCCGCAGCTACGAACGGAGAATGGGGAGGCAGAGGCCCACCAGGGCAGGAGCCCAGCCCTCCTTTGGCAGCAACTCAGAAAGCTTCTCTGACATTTCATTCAGAGACAGCCAAGAGAGCATCACTTGGGAGAGAGAGATAGAGCTCTCCAAGGAGACAGGTGAGTGCCCCTGTCACGCCTGCCCCAGGACACGCAGGAGCACAGTGGTTCCTCACCCTTATCTTATGAACCCACTGCTTCCCCACACAGTCACCTGATCAGAATACAGACTCTTCTCAACTTCCTCAACCTTCTGGGTATCCTGTCTGCTCTCCCTTACTGCCTGACAGTAGGGTTTGTCCGGTTTTGTGGTAGTGGAACAAAGACTTATGTGGAGGTGATGCCTCCGTTATGACGGGATCCTCTGTTCTGGGAGTGCCTTTAATTTTTCTCCTAGTGTATGTGGATGATGCCTCGTGGATGCGCTATGTCCCTCCCATCCCAGTCCACCGGGACTTCGGCGTTGGCTGGGCTGTCCTCAGCAACATTCTCTTCTGCCTGCCACTCTCCATCTTCGTCCAGATTGTGCGAGTCAGCTACAAGGTACCCGTTACTCTGGGGCCACCGTAGTTCCCCTGGTCCCTCAGCTCTAGCTGGAAGGTCTCCACTCTCCTGATCAAGGGAAATTACTTCAGGACTTGGAGTTGCCCAGATAGATGAGTGGATGGAAGGACAGGAGGTTGGTTAGTTGAGAAAACAAAGAATTTTTTTTAAGAAACTTTTTTATTTTATCTCATTAATTAATTAGTTAATTAATTGTTTTAATTTGACCAGAGCAGGACAGAGTGAGAGAGAGAGAGAGAGAAAGTGAGAAAGGAAGCTGCTGAGTCCGAGATCTGAACCACGGTTGGCCATGTGGGAGTCCAGCACCCTTAACCACCATGTCCCCTGCCAGCCCCGAAAACAGTTGTTCTAGAGAGATGGGATGGGATGGATTGTAAAAGGTTAAAAACTTGCTAGACTTGTTCTTCTAGAGCTACCAATAGATAGGTAAAAGAAAAGATAGACAAATAATTGTGTTACAACAATAAAATTTATTTTAGAAAGTTAGTAAATTTCTCTCCAGAAAAGGGAGAGAACAAAAATAACCCATAGTCATCACTCAAGAGAGATGCTGATTGCTGATGTTTTGGTACATTTCCTTCTAGTCTTTAGTTTGTCCTATTTATATATATGTATTGTGAGAGAGAGAGAGAAAGATCTTTTTTCTTTAAATTGAGACTAAATTTACTCTTTTATTATCTATTCTTCCACTGAGCAATATACTGTGTTTTCCCTATCTTCAGTGCACTTGTTTTGTTTTGTTTTGTTTTGTTTTTGTTTTGTTTTGCTATAGGGTGCGTGCACTTACCAGAAAGACAGAGAGAGACAGAAAGCAAGAAATCATCCCACATGGGGGATTGCCACGCCGCAATCCCTTCTCCTCCATTCTCCTCTCGGAATCTTGAGCATACACACACATGTGCCCAGTGTGAGTTTTAAGCCACTGGGTCCGGGACTCAAACCGTGGTCAACTACATGGGAGTTCAGTGACAGCCGTTACACTAACTGCTGGTCCCCATATCATTAAATTTTTTAACCTGGTATTAAGTAGATTCCTTCTTATGATGTACTGTGATTGATTTAAACAATAATGTTTTCCGTTTTTGGACATTTGAATTTCAATTTCTCGCTACTATGAATGACATGTTGATGAATACCTTTTGGTAGACATGTATGTGAGCAGCTCCAAGATTTTTTTTCTTACAGTAAAGGTAGAAGTAGAAACCCTGGCTTTGGAAGAAGCGAGTGTTTGGTCATAAATACACGGCATAGCTCCGGAAAGGTTTGAGCCCTTTCTAGCCCCACGCAGCATACTAGGGCCTTGTTTATGGCCCGCAGCAATGAGGCAGAGAGGCTGGAGGAGAGGAATGAGCAAATCGAAGGCATATGGGGAAGGTTGGGGGTGGCAGGAGCAAGGGGCTGGTGGGCCAGTTCAGGGAGACCACTCACTGTCCAGAAAATGGTGGTGAGCACTTTTATAAAATTCTTGCAGTTTACCCTGACCTTCAGGGCAAGCCTAAACCCAAGATTCTCCTCTTTAGGTGGAGAACCTTGAGGAGTTTCTGAATGACCCATTGAAGAAGCACACACTGGTCCGGTTTCTCCCGAGGGCCATCCGGCAGCAGCTTCTGTATAAGAGGTAAGGTCAATGAACCTGATGCAGATGGCTTGGGAGCTAAACAAGCCCTTAAAGGGAGGGTCCTGCACAGTTACTCAAAAGGAAGATGAAAGGGGTTCTGCCTTCTAGATTATAAAGACACAAGAGTGTTTTGTTTTAAGAGGTTTTTGCCTTAGGGCATGTATGCTCCCCAGAGAAAGACAGTGAGGCCCCCAGAGAGGATGGCCATGCCACAGTCCCTTCTCCATTCTCCTCCTAGGATCTTAGGCACGCCTGCTCACACACCCAGCGTGGGTCTGGGACCTGAAAAGCAGTCTGCCATGTGGGAGTCCAGCAAGTAGCCACTACTCCAGCTGTTGGTCCCAAGACAATAATTTTTATTCAGCCACGAATTGTGGGGCTGGTAAATTATATTACTTGATTTCAGTGATTTTTTCTTGGGGGGGGGGAGATTTTTGCTATAGGGCGTGTGTGCTTGCTAGAAAGACAGAGAGAAAGTGAGAAATCACCCACTAGTGGAGATGGCCACGCCGCAATCCCATCTCCATTCTCCTGTCCTCTCAGGATCTTGGGTACGCACACACACACACACATGCCCAGTGTGAGTTTAAGCCACCGGGTCCAGGACTCGAACCACAGTCTACTACATGGGAGTCCAGTGACAGCCATTATGCCAACTGCTGGTCCTCTAGTATTCTTTGTTGTTGTTGTTTTATTTTTCTAAGTTTATTGTTTATTTCATCCATGAATGACAGACAGGAAAAACAGCACCCTAGACAATGTGTTGATGCCACCATCCACCCCCAGCTCATGGGCCCACATGCCAGGCATATTCAGGGAGGTCTCAGGATGCAAACCTGAAACCTTCCTACATGGGTCAGCCTCAGAGCTGATGCATTTTACCACTCCACCACCATCCATCCCTGATTGTCAGCATTTTTTTAAAAAGAATTATTTTATTTAACTTTATTTTTTAAAAAAATTGGACCAGAGAGGGACACAGAGAGAGAAAGTGAGAAAGCAATCCACCAGGTCCAGGACTCCAACCATGGTGGGCCATGTGGGAGTCCAATGCCCTTAACCACCACACCACCTACTGGCCTTAAAGTAAAATCTACTGCTAAGGACTACAACTATTAGAGTGAACTTTTTTTTTTTGCTTGTTCCTTTTTGTTACTTTTACTTTGCAAATTAAATCCCAAGTGTAGGATCAATGCTCCATTGCCCTGGTTGAGTATCAGGAGGGTGGTTCTGGGTCGCAGTGCAGTCCAGGTCTGCAACTGGTCCCCCAGCCGCAGAAAAGGACCTACATCCAGCTGAGCTTGTGGTGTGATGAGAACCTGTCACCTTCCTCTGCTTTCCAGGCGTTACATTTTTTCGGTGGTGGAGAACCTTCAGCGGCTTTGCTACATGGGGTTGCTACAGTTTGGTCCCTCAGAAAAGTTTCAGGATAAAGATCAGGTAATGTTCTTGAAGCTGAAGTGGAGGTGGTGCTGATTGTTAAACAGTCTCCAAAAAGCTAAATTCAGTTCTGATTTGAGGTGCTCTTTTCTCCGACTGGTGTCTCCTGTAGGTCTTTATCTTCTTGAAGAAGAATGCGGTCATAGTTGACACCACCATCTGCGAACCACATTACAATCTTGCCCACAGCAGCCGGCCCTTTGAAAGGCGTCTCTATGTCCTGAACTCAATGCAGGATGTGGAAAACTACTGGTTTGACCTGCAGTGCGTCTGCCTCAATACCCCACTAGGTACCATTGGCACTGGTCTTTACCGTTTTCCCTCGTTTCTCTGTGATAGCTAGAACTTAGAGCTAGAAGAGACCAGAAGTCACCTAGCCCCCTGGTTTTCAGACAGGAACATCCCCAGGACTCCCTCAGTAAAGGAGTGGTGGTCCTTGAACGGGGAGGGCCCCCGTCCCCCTGCCCAGTTGAGCCCGAGCAGCTCAACTTTGTCCTTTTTGTTCATTGAGTAGGTGTTCATTAAACATCTGCTTCTTGCCACTTCCTGCACCTGACCATGCAATGTCAAGAACACCCCTTGTCCCTGCTTTCGTGAGGCTCGCCTTTAGTGAAGAGGAGACAGCCACAAGAGAGCTCTGGTGTGTGAAGGTGCTGCGGTAGTGTCGTATGGGGTGATACTGATTCCAAGGGTATTTCAAGGGGTGCTCAGGAGCAGCCTTTCTGAGAAGACATTTGAGCCGAGTCCTAAAGGATGAGGTCAAACCAGCCCTCTGTAGAGCTGAGGAGTGACATCCAGGTGGGGGCACAGCCCATGCAAAGGCCCTGCATGGTATGATGGAGAAAAAGAAGTGGCAGCAGGTGGAGGAGTCAAGCAGCCACATGTTGGGGGCCTGCAGGACACAGTGAAGAGTTTGGGGTTGTGTGTAGAGTGACAGAATTCACAAGATAATTGTCAGCAAGGAGTACCAAGATTGCTCATGTTTGATATTTCTATTTTGTTTTTGTTTTACTTGTTTTTTAAGGATTACTTATTTAATTTTATTTATTCATTTATTTTAATTTGATCAGAGAGTGACACACGATGGCGGGGATTGGGGGGGTGAGAAAGCAAGCCACTAGGTTCTGGACTCCAACCGTGGCCGGGCCGGGTTTCGG